TATCTCACTTTCCAATAAATAAATAAATCTTAAAAAAAAAGACATTTATTTGAAAGAGTTACAGAGACAAAGATCATTCTTCCATCCGCTAATTCATTCCCCACATGGTCACAATAGCCATGGCTGGCCAGGACAAAACCAGGAGCCTGCAATTCCATCCAGGTCTCCCACTGCTCCTTCGCAGGCACACAGCAGGGAGCTGGGTCAGAAGGGGAGCAGCTGAGACTTGAATGGCCCTCATGTGAGATGTCAGCTTTACAGGAGGCAGTTTAAACTTGCTGGCCTCTCAGAGCACTTTGTCAACCCAAACAATTTCATCCCTGAATGCCCCAACTAGGAAGACTGGACCTGCAGGGCCTGTGTTGTGGCGAAGCAGATAAAGCGACTGCTTACGATGCTGGCATTCCATATGGGCACCAGTTCAACACCAGGCTTCTCCACTCCACTCCACTCCAGCTCCCTGCTAATGCTCCTGGCAAAGCAAGAGCAGAAGGCCCAAGTGCTTGGGGCCTTTGCACCTACATGACTTGATCCAAACTGCTCACTTCAGCCTAGCCCAGTCCTCGCTGTGGCAGCCATCTGGGGAGTGAACTAGAGGAAAATACTTTCCTTTGTCTCTGTGTAATTTTCTTAATTGTAAAAAGGGGGGCCCCAGCACAGTAGCCTAGTGGCTAAAATCCTTGCCTTACATGTACTGGGATCCCATATGGGTTCCGGTTCATATCCTTGCTGCTCCACTCCCTTCAAGCTCCCTGCCTGTGGCCTGGGAAAGCAGTCGAGAATGGGTCAAGGCCTAGGGACCCTGTACCTGCATGGGGGACCAAGAAGAGGCTCCTGGCTCCTAGCTTCAAATTGGCTCAGTTCTTGCCATTGTGGCCACTTGGGGAGTGAATCATTGGATGGAAGATATTCCTCTCTGTCTCTCCTCCTCTCTGTGTATCTGACTTTGTAATAAAAAAAAAAAATACATAAATCTTAAAAAAAAAAAAAATGGAGGTAGAGCAGAAAGCCACGAGCATGCCAGTTCAGCTGGAGGCAGCTATCCAAGCCTTGTGTTCCAGTGCTTGCCTCAGAACAAAGGTTCAAAAATGGGCCCAACCAGCACATGCTTAACTCCCAGTGAGCTCCAGGGGGACGAGCTCTGCTGACTGTTCTCTGTTGACCTGCACAGCGTGCAACAGCTGCTTACTACAACATTCACGGAGTGAATGTTCCAGAAGGCAAAGCTAAGAGGATTTCACAGAGTTCAAAAACACGCAACAGAGAACAGGAGCAAAGATGTCAGGCACATGCAGGTGTCAGTCTGGGGCATGGGACAATCAAGGAAAGACAAGATTGGCATAACTAAATCTGCAAAGATGGGCTGGACGGGGCTTGAAAATACGAAGACCAAGTAGAATTTAATCCTATGGGATCAGGTGCCTCTTAGAATAGTCAAGGGAGAAGTCAGAGTCCCACCAGGAAGCCATAGCTAGGCAGGCAGCGAGGGGCTGGATAGCCAAGAGGAGGCCCACACAGAACTTAACAAACTGAAGTTAGCGGCAGGGAGGTGGGGGTCTAGGGAGACTGCTCTGCATCTGGCACTGTAAACACACGGCCACACTAGGGATGCCTGACTCAACACTGGTCCCTTCCACAAGGTGGTGTCGGGTCCCCTTGTAAAGATGACCTGCTCAAGACCATTAGCTAAGGAGGGAAGTGGTTTAAACAAGCATATCAGCTGAACTCTCCTGGTTAAAACCTTCAGTGGCTTTCACATGGGAGGCCTCGATAACACAACAAATCATTCATACCCGATACAGTTTTTTGGGTTTTTTGTTTTGTTTTGTTTTGTTTCTTACTGTGGAGCAAGATTCAAAAGCTTGAGAAATATTTCTTTAGTGGAAGGAGCAAGCATGCAGCTCATGCCACAAATGCATTCTAAGTTGATGAGGGAAAGGTACCACGGTACCCATTCTAGTGTTACCCTAGAATCCTGTACATAGAGGTGAGAGTAGAAATGTCGGAAAACTCAGGAAAATGGAAGGGAAAAGGATTTCCCAAGCAGAAAGACTAGCAAATGTAGAGGAGCTGAGCTCCATTAAAGTGACAGAAGCCAAGAAGCCAGGGGCCTTCGCAGCCTATTTCAGGACCCAGAAGTTGGAAGATGCCTTCTGGTCGTGCTGCTAGGGTTGGTCACGCTGGTCCTGCTACTGGGTTCTCCTCTGGCTTCTTAACAGACCTGACCGAGGGAGAGGGGAGTGTCCTGCGCCGTTCATCTCCCCTTCCGGCCCAGGGCGTCCCCGCACCCGCTCCGCCCACTCACACGAACACGTCCCCGTCCACGTCTCCGGCCGCCAGCAGGTCGCGGGAGGGATGGAACGCCAGCCCACTGGCCGGCGCCTCTAGCACGATGTCTTCCGGGGTGTCCCGGATCCGGGCCGGGGCTTCGGTGCAGTCGGAGTCCTCCCCGTCACTGCCGTCCCCCGCCGGCCTGTCCTCACTCGGGTCGTCCATGCTCCCCGGAGCCACGAGTGGCGCCTCGGGCAGGAGAGCCGGCGCCGCCCTCACAGCACCGCTTCCGCTTCGGCGCGCCGGACCGGAAGCGTCTCCAGGCGTTTCCGGGAGAGGCGTGTCGGCCGCTGGGACGCACGTGGGCCGAGAGGCGGGTCTGCTAAAGCAGTACGGCAGTCAACCGTTCCTTGCTTTTGAGTTGGGGGCTGCGCTGAAGTACTCACCCCTCACTGAGGAGGACTTAATGCACTCGGGAAGGGAGAAGGGAAGTCACTGGCAGCAGGGGCTCACTCAGGGCGCCGCTGTCCCTGCACGGCATACTTGGCCCAAACAGCAGCGGCCTCAGCCTGTCCCTGCACTGTAGCTCGAGCCTCTCAGGCCAGATCGTCTGGCAATGCCGGAGCTACCGGGGAACTCCTCGGCTGTGGATCTGAAGGTGTCAGCTTCCCAAGTTCGGGCCCCTGGTGGCGGCAGCACCTGTAGGGTGGCGCGGTGTTCCGTGGCCACTAGAGGGCAGTAAGTGAGGTCAGGCCGCAGAGGCTGCAGGTCCCTCAGCTGCCCCGACAAGTTGCTGTGTGGCTTTCAGAGTCCTAGTTGGTCCTTTTTGAGGCCAAGCCGAGGGCCATGGTCACTCCTATAAGGTTCAGTGAAACTTGTAAAAACTCAGTTGTAAGCTGGCAGTCAGGCCACAAGTCTTGCTCTTGGTGGCCTGGGTTTCTTCATCTGAGCCACAGGCCTCCATGACCCGACAGGGAGCACCGCCCATATCCACGGAATCAGGTGTCCTTCGTCTGAGTTTGGCCACTCTAGGTGCTGCTGCAGACACAGGGTCATTCTCAGCCTCACAAGCCACATGGTCGACTTCGTCAAAAACCCTAGCTCATTTGGGTGCGGAGGGGGAATTTCCAGCATTCTCTGGATCTGCTGAACCCACAGGCCTTGGGTTCAGGGGAGGCAACTGCATTCAGCCACAAAGCATTAACTTTAGACTGACAAGCACATGACCAAAGTTCTGGCAATGGGCAATGAGGAATAAAAGGGCAGAACAGAGCAAGGTAAAGGCCAGGGGCTCAGCCTGGACCTGGGTAAGCTTAACTGGGAAATGCACAGCACCAAAGCCCTCTGCCCTGGAACCGCTGTTCCAGCGCAGGACTTCACAGACTTGCAGGACGGAGCTGCACCTGCTGTACCTCCAAAGCCCGTCCTCACCGCCATCCCTCCAGCCAGACGCAGCGATGGACACGCAGCATTACTGAGAGAAATTTTGTTCCTGTGGGCATCTTCATCATGTGCTCACCCAGAAGCCAGTGCAGTGCTGCCTTGGGATCAGGCTCACAGACTCCCGAGTGGACCCCAACAGGCAGGGAGTCTACCTCGGGAGGGACTGACATCTGCGGTTAGCCGTCAGTTTCCCATCAGACAGGATCATTTCTTCCCTCCCTGCTGGGCACACTGGCTAGTAAACATCCTTACTGTCCAGGAACACAGCAACATGTTTCAGGAAAGGACTGATACGTCTTTCTGTTTGTAATTTTTAAAATTAAAAAAATTTCAAAGGCCAGTGTGGCACAAGTTAAGCCTTCTCAGGCAATAGTGGCCTCCCATAAGAGTACTGGTTTGTCTCAGCTCCTGCATTTCTGATCCAGCTCCCTACTAATGCACCTAGGAAAGCAGCTGAAGACGGCACGGAGCTTGTATCCCTGTACCCACGTGGGAGACCCAGATTAAAATCCTGGGTCCTAAAGCCCTTGTCTTGAACATGCCGGGATCCCATATGGGTGCCGGTTCTAAATCCTCGCAGCCCCACTTCCCATCCAGCTCCCTGCTTTTGGCCTGGGAAAGCAGTTGACGACTGCCCAAAACCTTGGGACCCTGCATCCACATGGGAGACCCAGAAGAGCTCCTGGCTCCTGGCTTCGGATCAGCTTAGCACTGGCCCTGGCAGTCACTTGGGGAGTGAATCATTGGACAGAAGATATTTCTCTGTCTCTTCTCCTCTCTCTATATATCTGACTTTGCAATAAAAATAAATAAAATCTTAAAAAAAAAAATCCTGGCTTCTGGCTTCAAATGACCCAAAGGTGTAACCATTGCGGGGGGCAACTTCTGAGTGGACCAGCAGATGGAAGATTTGTCTCTTCCTCTCCGTCTACATTTCTTTTTAGTACAAAAGAAGTCTTCCATCTGCTGGTTCACTCTCCAAATGTCTCAACAGCCAGTGCTGAACCAGGCAGAAGACAAATACCTGGAACTCAGTCCAGGTCTTCCATGTGGGTGCCAGGACCACAACTACTTGGGACATCACCTGCTGTCTCCCAGGCTGTGGAAATGGAAGCAGGGTCAGGATGTGAAGCCAGGCATCAAGATACGGAGTCCTAGCATCTCAAGTGGCATCTTCATTGTATAAAGTCATACCTGCCCCTCTGGTGTGATCTTATAAAATCAGTGGATTACCCTCTTGGTGCTCCAAGGGCCCTGGAGGGAAGATGCTCAACACAGGAAACATGTGGGTTCAACAATTTTAATGGAACCAATGATTACACAATAAAAATTTTATATACATTTACCAGAACACCTAACAACCTTTCTGGGAATTGTAGGAAGCAAACAGTGGGGAGCACAGCACTGTAGAGAGATTCCCTAGTTGGAACTGAAGATCAGTACTTCGGTCTTTTGACTTCAACTCTACAATGGAAGGAGAAATGGATCAGCGTAAGATCAACACACTAAGCAATTCCTACCAGGTCCACCAGGAAAGCTGCTTACCCGTCTGCTTCCATCCTCTTTCTCTTCTCAATGATCTGCAGAGAAGAATGGAGAATGCGTCACACTGCCAGATTAAACCCAGGTAGGGCCCAAGCCTCCCGTGCAGGCCTCCCCCTATGTGCTTTGGTGTCTCTGGGCCAGTGTCCCTCTTAGTTGAAACCCTCCCACTCACCCGGACAATCCCACTTACCGCACTTATCTTCTTCCACTGGCGATCAAGCTCTGCCTTGTCATTGGTTTCCTTGAAGCGCCTGGTTTTCCGCCCTTCAGACATCTTGATTCCATATTGGAATGCAGCCCTGCAAAGAGCCATTGAGGGAAGAAGGCATCAGAGACTGCATAGCAGAAGAAAGGGTTTCCCAGAGGGCACTGTAGGCAGAGAACCTATTTGGGATTCCACCATCTGCATACACCCTCATACACTTGTGGGCGAGTTCACCCAGGTGCCATATCCCTCCTCACTCCCTGGCCGGATTCAGTGCCAACTCACTTGGGCAGAGCCTCCTTGTTGTTCATATACTCGCTGTATTCCTCTTGGGTATCAAAGTCCCAGCGGCCCAGGGGGCCCTTTTTGTTACCCTATTGCACAACAGAAGCGGGGGAGAGGCAAGAAAGAGATGTCATTGGAAACAGAAATGTAGCCCTTGGGTAAAACCAGACTGTCCCCAAATCACTTGTTTCACCATTCATAAACCTTACCCTAATAAACAATAATGAATGCTTACTGCATACTATGTAATAGGCATACTTAAACACAAACCTAGACACCTATTTATTTAATTATCAGAAAATCTATGAAAACCAAACTATATCTCTCCATTTTCCTAATGAGAAAACTGAGCCATAAAACAGTAAAAGAATTTGGTGAAGTCACAAAACTAATCAATGGCAGAGGTGGAACTGAACAAATTCCAAAACTAAAGATTGCTTTTAGCTATAGCAGCGCATCTAGAGTAAGGGCGTAGATGAGATTTCTACATTTTAGCATTAATTATGGTAATGATGTTTTACTATATTTTCATTCTGTTTAAGATTTACAGGGAAACTTAAATCCTGGCCAGAATGAAATTCATCTATTTTCTGAAGCCTGCAGTTCCACCTGCCCTTTCTACATATGCATTTATGTTTAGGGTAGAAATCAAAGCCTCGCATGCTGCTGCAGGAAATGACGATGTTCAGCCCTGTCTCATTTGATCTGGTGCAGAGGCTTTAAGCTACTCCATGATCTGCAATGCTGCTGCCTCTATGCCGCGGCTCTAAGAAACCCAGACATGGATTTTTGTAGAACAAGAAGAGACATGTTAAAAAGCCCCAGCACCATCTTTCCTTTGCTGTACCTGGTCCATTTTGCTATAATCCACCTCTTCATCACTGTCCACGGCCATGTCATCCATTCTAAAGAGAAGCAATGGTTAAAGCTGTTACCCACAGGCTGCCTAGAAATGACTTCCCCTCTGGACTTCCCACTCCCACTATAACAGTTAATCCAAGTAAAAAACACCCGAGTCCCAGCAAACCAAATCAAATTTCTATCTTAACACCCCAATACCCGGTTTTTCTGCATAATCCCAGCACCTCTTCCCACCAATTCCTTAACAGACTGACACATACGTGGCTGGGTAACACTCCGCGTAACTGTTGGACATGCCGAAGAAATCTCCCAGCTGCTTTTTGTCTTCTGGCTTCTTTAATGTATGCTATGTTAAAGAAAATACTAGACAGAATTCCATTGCAGTAAAGTTACAAGGATCAGGCCTGGCAGCATGGCCTAGGGCTAAAGTCCTCGCCTTGAACGCTCCGGGATCCCTTATGGGCACCAGTTCTAATCCCGGCAGCTCCACTTCCCATCCAGTTCCCTGATTGTGGCCTGGGAAAGCAGTCGAGGACAGCCTAATGCCTTGGGACCCTGCACCTGTGTGGGAGACCTGGAAGAAGTTCCTGGCTCCTGGTTTTGGATCGGCATAGCACTGGCCGTTGCGCTCACTTGGGGAGTGAATCATTGGACTGAAGATCTTTCTCTCTGTCTCTCCTCCTCTCTGTATATCTGACTTTGTAATGAAAATAAAATAAATCTTAAAAAAAAAAAAAGTTACAAAAACCGGCACAGTGGGAGCAGTGCCATACTGTTCAAGTCCCGGCTGCACCACTTACCATCCAGCTCCCTGCTTATGGCCTGGAAAAGCAGTCAAGGATGGCCCGAATCCTTGGGACTCTGCACCAATGAGATACCTAGAGTAAGCTGGCTCCTGGCTTCAGATTAGCTCAGCTCTGGCCACTGTGACCACTATGACCCTTTGGGGAGTGAAATAGTGGGTAGAAGACCTCACTCTGTCTCTCCTCTCTCAGTCAAGCAAACAAAACAAAAAACCCTCTCCAAAGGGGGGAAAAGAAAAAAGCTTTCAGGCAGGGTCCTGTGCTGTGGAATAGCAAGTTAAGACTCTGCCTGTGACGCCAGCATCCCATATGTGTGCTGATTCAAACCCCAGCAGCTACACTTGCATTCCAGCTTCCTGCAAATGTGCCTGGGAAAGCAGCAGAGGATGGGCCCTTGGTAGGCCCAGCTCCAGCTGTAATGGCCATTTGGGGAATGAAGCCATCTAATATTTTCTCTCTTCCCTGCCCCTGATTTCTATCAAACCCTGCCTTTCAAAGATATAAAACTTAAAAAGAAACAAAACAAAAACCACTTTTAGGCAGAAGAATCTGAGAGGGCCTGAAGGTTCTGTGGATTCTCTGGGGGAATGGTAAGGCATCTTTCGTTCTATTCAATTCAACATAAAATGGAAGGAATCAGTGAGGGAGTGAGGGGAGCAGAAAGGCAAGTGGGGTAGGAGTGAAGAGAGGACAATTCTGTAGAACTCCAGAACTATTAAAATAAAGGATATGATTCAGTGCCTTCCCAACCAGTAGACCCAGCAAATTTTTCGTTGATGGACTTAATGAGCTCCTTGGCAGAGCCAGGCCCTGAGGGAAAGAGAAAACTGCTCAGCACTTGAATAAGGTTGTCACCACCTCCTGGCCAGGAAGCACTTTCAAGCTTTCAGGAAAGTTTTTATTTTTGCCTTGGAAAAAAGTACTCTTTTGCCTAATAAAATTTTAGTCAGATTCCAACTGATAAGCTACCTGGCTGAGATGGTGGTACAGGTACCAGATCACTGCTCAACTAGCCTCCTCAAAACCTCAGGGCTACAGGAATTGCTGTCTATGAGCAAGTGTACCCTGCCACTGTCCAGGAAAGTGAACAGAACTCCGGACTCATCCTGTGTGTTCCACAAGCAGACATGACTTTTCCAAGAAGCCACCATCAGGGAGCTCCCCAGTCTGGCCTTTACCAGCTCTTGAGTTCTAGGCTGGACTCAGCCAAGGGGAAGGCAGCACTGGAAGAGCCAAAGCCAAGTTGCTGTAGACATAACTCACCTTTGTCGACATCCATGGGCTGGAAAGAGAAAACTGAGGTGAGTATCACCATGAGGGATTCCCCATCATCCCACCCACAAGGCTCCATCAGTCCCCAACCTGAGCTGTCCCCCTTTCCACCAAGGTTGCTCCCCAACACACATGAACTGACCCATGAGGCACTTAAAAAATGGGAGGGCCCCCACCCGGCTGGGCAGGATAGGGGCAACTCCACCAGGGTGCCAAGGGCCCCATCTCACCTCATCGTCTACTTTTGGTTTCTCAAAGTAACTGTGTCTCTTCTTCTCCTCCTCCCTCTCTCGGTCCCGCTCCCGTTCCCGCTCCCGATCACGTTCTCGTTCACGCTCTCGGTCACGGTCACGATCTCTGTCTCTCTCCCGATCACGCTCCCGTTCCCGGTATCTCTCCCGTTCCTTGTCCCGAGGTGTCTTGGTGGTGGAGGGGACATAATCCCCAATGTCTTCAAAAATGCTAAGAAAACAGAGGTCACTAGTTAGCAAAGTCACGTTTTCCCCCATCATTCATTCTTCTAGACTCTTAACCTGAAGCCTCCCCAAAATGCCAAAACCAAGCAACATGCCACCTCTTCCATAACATTAGGTGCCAGGAACTGGGGTACTTACTTCATGTCAGCCTCAGGAGGTTTCTTCTCTTCCAGCTTCCCTGAAAAGCCAACAGGGACATCAGGAAAGCACTCCTGAATTAACTCTCACTCTGCCCCAGCAGCCTCTCAGCTCTCAAAACCCTTTCAGATATTTTCTGTTGAAAGGACAAATGCTACCCACTCTCCTCATGTGCCACGCCCTCTGGCTGGGCCAAGCAGACAGAGCTGGAATGCAGCCAACTCTGTCAAGGTGCCACTGTTCCCTGGAAGCGTCCCAGTGCCATGGAGACAGAGGTTCCACCCCCAAAAGCCCCCCACCCTATAAGAGTAAAGGCCCTCTCCCTAGTGTCCCGGGTACCTTTATCCTTCTTCTTGAGCTTCTTGTTGCGGGTCCCCTGCCGCAGATATGAGAGGATCTGGGTGAGCTTGCTAATGACAATGTCATTTGTAGTCAACGTGGTCTGGGCCTGACAACCCCAAAATGCAAGAATGTTATCCCACTATGCAGAAATCTCTTCACTCATGCATGCACTTACTTAACAAACTTAGAAAAAGCTACAATTAATTAAATAGGGAACACACAAGGAGAAAAGGAGATATTGCATAAGGAAACCCCAGATTATCAAAAGCATACACAAAGGCCCTGCATCCAAAGTGACTTTAAAACAAGACAGTTGGGGGAAAAAAAAACAAAAACAAGACAGCTGGGAAACTAACAACAGGAAGTCATGGTGAAAAAGAGACCAGAAATAGTGGATGTTGTAAAGCCCACAGGCAGTGGTAAAGATTTTTCTCTTTAATTCAATAGTGGTGCAAACCTTTGAAAACTTAATTTAACGTGACAAAAATATGTATTTTTAACAGACACCCTGGTCATGTGGTAAAAATCATAATGGAAATTGGGATGAGGGAGGCACTGGTGACTAGAGAGAAAAATATTCTGTCATCGATTGTCATGATGGTTATATATCTGCACATCATTAAAAAGAAAGAAAAATGAAAAAAGGTGCTGAGCACTTTAAAATAAAAAGTGAATTATATGGATACAAATTACATCACCACAAAAAATAACATTTTAGAAAGAAGCCAGAATGGAAGGGGATTCTTTTAATAGCTTCAACAAGAGATTGTGACTTAAACTGGATGGTATCAATAGGAATGGAAAAAAGTAAAGGATTCAAATGAAATTTGGGAAGCAAACCGTAGTGAGAACAGGACAGAGGGGGGCTAATTCCTGCAGCTGAAGTTCATCCGAGGGGCTCCCGGGACTCAGGCTCACCTCCATGGTGGGGCAGTCGGCCTTGCTGCGAATCAGAGTGGTAGGGATATCCGTGTCTGCATACTCATCATCCAGGTCCACCACGTAGGCCATGCGGCCCGGCAAGAAGAGCTCATTCCGCTCGTATGCTTTGCTTTTGAAAAGCATGCGGTAAACATTGCGGCCTACAAAAGGGGAAGGGCAGGAAATAACCAATGAGAAACTTATGTAACAGCCACCATTTAATAAGTCTTACTCTAAGCCAGTCACCATGCCAAGTGCTACTTATGCCTTGCTTCAGTCACAACGTTATTATTACCTGTCTTTTACCGATAATACTAAGGCTGAAAACTAAATGCTTAACCTAAGGTTAAATCAAACAGCTGCCAATTGACAAAGCCATAAACTGGACCTAAGCACAGTTAACTCAAAATCCTGGGCTCCTATCCACTCTTCTAGAATGCCCTCTCCACAGCCCTGTGTGCCTGGATTGTATGGAGCCTGTGACGGAAAGGATGAAGCCTCATGTAATTTTGATGGTGGAAAAAAGATCTGTGCTACATGCTTAATGTGGCTCATTCCATGTGCACCATCTTTCAACCCTACAAAAATCCCAGGGGGTAAACATTAACCCAATTTGTATAGACAAGTAAAAAAGAAGCAAAGTCAGTGGCCTAAAATCACAGATCTGGGTGGGTTCAGCATCACTTATCTCTCCAATTCCATATTTTGTGCTTTAAGCCATTAGCCATGCCACCTCCTTTGAGACTCAGGCACCAAGAGAAAAGAGCTTCTCCGCTAACTGAGCAGACATAAATAATACATGAAATAATTAAGTTTCTGGAGAAGTCCTATTATGTATTTTTTTGATAACTAGTTAGTTTAAGAGGAAGAAAAAGGAAAAGAAAAAGTGGAGGCATATTCTGCTAAAAAGCATGAAATTTCCTTTAGTTCACCTAAAATGCAATTACTAGTATTAAAACCCTGTACTTACCCAGACGTGTTTTAAATTCAATTTTGTTTTCAGGGTCCTCATCTTTCCTAGGGAAGAAGATTTTTTAAATTTTTAAGCAATTTAAAATTTTTAATTAAAAAATTTGGACTAACTTGGTACCTTATTGTTAATTTTTTAAATACTCCTTAGCATATTTAGGTCTCACCGCTTTATAATCTCAAGACCTCCTTGATATTTACTCACTTTGTTTCCTTCTGGGGCTTTTCCATCAGTTCTTCTTCTTCTTTCTCTTTGCTGGCAATCTCAGCTCGTACCTAATAGGAAAATAAGTCAGGTTTAAACACTCATTTTACATGTATCTATGGTACATCCACTAAACCACTGGTGGGAAAGAAAGAAAAGGCACAGTAACTGCTCTAGTAAAACAGAATGCTTACACATGAACTGGAAGGTAAGGAACTGGGCACCTGCTAACCACACCTCCATGATCAGGGGTTTGTTTTTTCATTCAAGGAAATAAATTTAGGCTGATACTTGGAGGATCTATGGCAATCAGTCCTACAGAAGGACTAGCACTTCTTAGAATCCATGGTGTGAACTACCAGGAGTCTCCTGCCTCGCCCCACAGGCTGTACCAGAACATTCTGCACTAAGGCATTCCCACAGCCCACAGGGCACACCTTCTGCAGCAGAGCAAAATCCAAGCCTTTCACCAAATGGGTGTGTTCCATGTCACCACCCAAGAATTTGGACTCCTGGATCAACTGTCTTCTTTTCTCGGCAGCTGATTTATCCCTGCAAAATGAAAAATATCGCATTAGAACAATCCTCGCTGGCTGGCAAGTGTGAGCCCCAGAGCAGGGGCAGAATCAGGAAGAGTTCACATGGTGACTGGCATGCTGAGGAACCATTCCCTGACACTCACGCCTCAGCAGTAGGGCCCACAGCCCTGTAGTTAGCTGTGGTGCTTATCAGCTCAGTTTCCTCATAATCTTTGTTCACACCATCTCTCCGCTCTTTAGCACGGTCCCGGTATTTCTCTGCTAGCTCTCTTTCTCTCTCAATTTCTTGTTGGCGTAGCTTGGCATAATAACTGTGAAAGGAAAAGAGTACAAGTTACCTCCAGGTCAGCGAAACTATTCTTCCAGTCTCCCTGTATCTTCCCACAGCTCTCTACAGGCAAAGCTCATATGTTTCCTGACAGAACTGCTGACCACATCCTCACTATCCTCAAGGTGAGAATGAAAGCTTCTTCGAGCTCACAGAAATAATGCCAAACAGATAGCTCAGGACATTTCACCTGTTACTTCAGAATTCTTTTCATGCCCTCAACTTGATGCTCTAGAGGGCTGAAAGATTCTGTCACAAAGCAATCATAGAATCCTTTGAATTTTTATCATCTTCTAAATTTTAATTGAAAACAATTTATTCCTTGCTGGTTCACAGCTCAAGAAAGGAAAAGAAAAATACTAGGTCCAGAAAGTTTGTGTGTCATATTAATATGAATGAGGAAAGTAGGGGCCAGCACAGTGTTTGGCAAGCTAATCCTTTACCTGTGGAATGGCATCTCACTGAGGCACCAGTACAATTCCTAGTTGTTCCACTTCCCATCCAGCTCTCTGCCTATGGCCTGGGAAGGCAGGAGAGGATGGCCCAAAGCCTTGGGGCCCTGTACTAACATGAGAGACCTACAGGAATCTCCTGGAAGATCATTCTATTTGTGACCATTTTGGGGAGCAAACCACAGGTGAAGTTCTCCCTCTCTGTAACTTTTTCTAGTAACTTTCTAAAAAATTATGAAAATGATAGCAATCAAGATTTAGTGATTACTACATGCCAACACTGATAATGACAAGTAAAGCTTGTAACAACCTGCCAAAATTTATTATTACTACCTCTATTGGACAGGTTAAACAAAATGCCCAAAGTTATCTAGCTAGAACCTGGTGGCAGTGTGACCAGTGTTGTATTTAAGCTACTTTCTGAGATGCTAGCATCCCAAAAGCATCAGCTCACACACCAGGTGTCCACTGCCAGCCCAGATCCCTGGTAATGTACCTGAGAAAGCAGTGGAAGATGGCTCCAGTGTTTGGGCCACTGGAATTCATGTGGAAAACTCATACAAAGCTGCTGGTTCCTGCATCTGGTCTGCCCTAACCTCAGCTGTAGTGGCCATCCGAAGCCCGAATAAACACTATTGATTGACCTTTCTCAACAACCCTCCAGTATTCCTTCACCTTTTCTTTTTTCTCCTCCGTGCAGCTGGGTCTTCATCTTCATTGTACTCCCTGGGCATCCTATAAAAGATAAATTTAGTGACAGCAAAGTACCGCTATGGCACCACCAGCAACTCCAAAAAGTAATCAATGCAACAGTTTCAATCAGGTGGAAAGCCAGGTCAATATCATCCCCTGACAAGTCTTCAAACCTTATAAAGCATTGCAAGCAGTCTCAAGATAATTAACAGCATTTATCTCCCAGCATCTACCATAGAGAATCTAAGATTACAGAGCTGGAGCAGACTGTGAAACCTATCTGTGTGTACCAGCAGTGACTCCACCACATAGCCACGGAACAAATCCTGAAACCGGTGAGAATATGCCAGGGACAGGCTTCATCACAGCAGCTCTCTGCCCTCTAAGGCATTCCAGTTCAGTAAAGGGATAACAAAGTGCAAGGGACACATGCGAGGCAGATGGGTGGGTCCCATAAGACCTACTCATGGTGACGGGATTTTGAGGGTGGTGCAGAAGTGGGTGTAGCCCTTGGGGTCATGAGAAGCTTCCTAAAGTCTTCATTGGTAAGCTTTGATCTGTAAAAAAAAAAAAAAAAAAGGCAAAGATCAAATAATCAGCATTCGATAGGAAACAGAAAATTTGGTGAACTTTACTAGACACATCAGGGAAACACAAAGACATACCACTTCCAACACAGGGCAATATTCACTATTAAACAGTTTGATAAAAGAGAATTTTGAAAATGGATATTCTCGTCTACTGCTAATGGGATTGAAAACCATTTAATCAATCTGCAGGGCAACTTCATAATATCCACAAAATGTAAACATCCTGTTGTCCAGTAATTCTGTTTACTATATTCAGTTTGGTTGACTACCAGCGTAGGTGTTTAGGAAACCCTGTGGAGCCAGTGCCATTATGCAGGGGACTAGGCTACCACTTACAATGCTGGCATCCCATAAGAATACTGGTTTGAGATTCCATTGCTCTATCTCCCATCCAGCTCCTTGTCATGTCCTGGAAAAAGCATTAACAGATGGGCCAAGTGCTTGGGCCCCTTGCCACCCATGTGGGGAACCAGATGGAGCTCCTGGTTCCTGGATTCAGCCTAGCCCAGAGCTGGTGTTTGTAGTCATCTGGAAAAATAATCAGCAGATGGAAGATAACTCACTCTCTCTGACTCTACTTCTGTGTATGTCTTTCAAGCAAAAAAACAAAAAACAAAAAACAAAAACAACTTTTTCAAAAAGAGAAATAAAAATCTAGCATCTTCCCTGCCAGAATTTACTAAACTCTATTTTGTAGTAGCCCTATCCTGGCTAGGGTGCAGAGACAAAGGACCAGAGGATATGCTTTTTGAACTTTTCATGTTGACAAGACACCATCAGTCAGCCTTCCAGTGCACTCCCTGCTCGGCTTATTCCTCCCCACCCCACCCCACCCGCGGCCCTCCAAACCAATACTCACTGGTGGAAGGAGTGAGCATCATCAACATCATGGCCATCTGGTGCCAAGGGGTTGGAGAACGGCTCGCCTAAGAGGAAAGAATTGACGTTAATTTCATGTGTCAGGGCCTATGTAAACACGGGCACAGTTATGAACAACACAGAAAAAAACAAACAGGATGAACATATCGTTAATGTCAATATAACGAAGTATTGCAATAGGGGGAAGCTGTAGAAAGGCAGGGGAGTGGCCACGCAGGCGGACCAGCAAAGGCTTCCTGAAAAATCACAGCTGAAACACCGCCCTAGAACAAATGTAGGTAGCATGAGGCAGAGACCCGCGGGGGAGGAGAGTGCACAGACAAGAGCCGCCCGTCCTCACTCGGGGCAAGAATCGGGCCCGACAGCTCCGCGGGAGTGCAAACGTCACACTCGCTCACACACAGACACACAGACACACACATTTCAGACTCGAGCTGGGCCGAGACCCTCAAAGAAGAGACGACAGACGACCCAAGTCTTACTATCTCGTTCCGGCATCCTGTCCGAGGCCTTGAACTATAGCGACAAGCAGAGCTCTCACAATAACACCGTAGCGACAAGCCCCTTCCCACAGTGCACCGCGGAAGTCAGCCCACAATGCACCGCGCTCCAAGGTCCGTAAGCCGCCTCTCTGGCGTCTCTCAGAGCAAAACGTATATACCTGGCTGCCCAGCAATACTTTCGTGCTATTGGCTCATCTTTTACTCCGCCCCCTACGCCATCCAATCGGAGGTGGAGGTTGGAGTGTCCGCTATTGGTCCGCTTGCAGAATTTGGCCGGAAGCCCCGCCCCAGTGGGCTTCGGTAGCAGCGGCCATGGCGGCGGCGACCGCGGCTCGAGGGGTCGCAGCCAAGGTGGGATTGCGTGAAATTCGCATCCACCTATGTCAGCGCTCGCCCGGCAGCCAGGGCGTCAGGTGAGGCGTGGCGTGGTGGAGCGGGCGGACGGGATTCGGGGCGCCGGGGTCACGACCTCCCGGTGTTTGGGGAGACCTTGCCCACGGCTTGCGCGCCGCTGTCTCCGTCCCCGCAGAGACTTCATCGAGAAACGGTACGTGGAGCTGAAGAAGGCCAACCCCGAGCTGCCCATCCTGATCCGTGAGTGCTCCGACGTGCAGCCCAAGCTGTGGGCCCGTTACGGTGAGCGCCGGGGGCCGGGCCCTGGGACGCCGGTGGGGAACGAGAGCTGGCCAGGACGAGCCGCCCCACGTCTGTCAGAGAGGGGACTGGAACTCGGACATTGCCTTTGCCCGTTGACCGGGTTGTCAGTGAAGCTTAGGTTAGCAAGGTTCTGGAATGCTCTGTATTCCAGACCACGTCCATCTGGAGGCTGGTGTCGAGCTGACAGGAGCTGCTGAGCTGGTCGGCAGTGTAGGCATCCCCCGAAGTGTGCATCAGTGCCGATGCAGTGACGTTGGGCACAGAATACCTGTGCTGGGTGGTTTTCCAGTTAAATCTCACTTACCAACTGTATGGGACGCCGTACAGCTAGAATCTAGGCTAGAACATGATGGGCAGCTTTGTTCCTTTGCCCTAGAGCTTGCCCAGGCCTCCTTGTTACACAGGATGTTGTGATTTGGGTCTGAACAGCCTAAATTAACATTTAAAAGGCTTTATAACGTTGCCCCAGCATCTTTTTATAATCTTTTTGATATCTTGCTATCTGAAAATGTATTGTGCTAATGCATATAAGATCTGCAAAAAAACATTTAAAATGAACCAAGTCATGAATTATACCTTTGGCTCCACCCTGCGGGAGATTTGTTCTAATTGTAGTGTGCCACTTGCTGGCACTTGTTTCAAGTGGGGGGAAAAAGTTCACTTTAAAAAACCAGAGAAGGGGATATTGCGGTAGTAAAGAGTGGGTGCCAAGGCAAAGCTAGGCCCGTGCAGTGCACTGCTCATGGTGGTTCCTAACCAGGTTCTGCAGTGGATCACTCGCAGGCTTATTGTGGCCACCTCGGGTTGGCCAAGATTCTCAAGCCGGCCTCGCCACCGGATTCATGCCAGTCACAGCAGTCTAGCAGTCTACACTTTCCATCCTAACAAGGCCATAAGATACAGACCTTCGATTTATAGTTGTTGTGCAGAGTTGACTGCTCAAATCACATCTCTCCCTTCCCCCTCACAGCATTTGGCCAAGAGAAGAATGTCTCTCTGAATAACTTGAGTGCTGATCAGGTAACCAGAGCCGTGGAGAATGTTCTAAGTGGAAAAGCCTGAAATGCAGCTGTGGAATCAGAGCCCCGCCACTTGGGTTCTATGAGACTGAGTACAATGTGGAAACTGTGTTCTGTATAAAGTCCGTGCTGTGAAACGCTGTCTCAGAGTATTCTTGTCCTCATTTTACCCTCTACCTCTTTTTGTAGAACCCAGGCAAAGCAGTATAATATAAAAATAAAGCTTTATTGTTTCTCATCAAAAACCATCAGCTGCTGAACCAAAGAAAAAAAGAAAAGAAAGAAAAAGAATAAATAAAGCCACAACACCCTCCCTCCCTCTGATCATCCCGAATCAATGAGCCAGACTCCAGTTCCAGCTTAGGTTCGTTGTGGGAACAGATGGTGTAAAAACCCTGTTGTCATCTCAAACACACAAAGGCTCCAATTCTCCTGGCAGAGGATGAGGACAGAGAAGTTGGTGGGCTGGAGAGGAGTGAGTGACACTGGGAAGCTGGGTCACCTGTGCAGAGCTGCTTGCTGGAGCGCCAGGACCCGGTCCCGCAGATGGGCCTCCTCCTGGTGCCTTTCCAGAGCCTGCAGCCCGGCAAGCTGCACAAAGGCTTCAGTGGCCTGCGGGCAGGGAGGACAGGGACTCAGCACTTAGTCGCAGGGTTTCACAGACTAGCCGACTTCCTGAAAGGGCATGTCCACAGGTTCTGAAGGAGCTGGCCTGGAGGCCAGAAGGACTAGCCAGACCAGAGAAACAACTAGTTAGGGCTGGCATGGAAGGGGACCAGGGTAAGACCTGTGGCTTCAGAGCAAGGGAACAAAATACTGTGGCCAGAAGCCTCTACCTTTGGCTGATACAAGAATAGCAGGTGCAGCAATTCCAAACTCTGACCGACGACTTCAGTGTCAGAGAAGGTCAGGACATTCAGCACAGAGTGGAGCAGGGGCCCTGGCCACAGCCGCTGGCTGTAAGCAGGACCCTTCTCTGCAACATTGCACAGAACTGTGAGCACCTGCAAGAGTCCCCACAATGAAAGCCAGAAATGTAACAACAGCTAATATACATCAGGGTGCTTCAAAAAGTGTGGAAAATGGAATTAAAATAATTTGATGTTGCAGCATAGTGCATTAAGCTACTACTTGCAATGTCTGCATCCCATCTGAGCTATGCATGTAAGAAATTATCAAAAGCCTGCACAGGGGCAAGTGTGGTAGCCTAGCAGCTAAATCCTCGCCTTATTTGCACCAGGATTCCATACGGGTGCCACATCACATCCCAGCTTCTCCACTTCCCCTCCAGTTCCCTGCTTGTAGCCTGGGAAAGCAGAAAGCAGTAGCTGCATTCTTTGACCCTATACCCATAGGGCAGACCCAGCAGAAGCTCCTGGCTTCTGATTGGCTCAGCTCCAGCCATTGCAGCCATTTGAGGAGAGAACCAGCGGACAGGGATCTTTGTCTCTCCTCTCTAAATACGACTTCCAATAAAAATAAATAATTGTTTTTTAGAAATCTGCATAAATGTTTGAAGTTTTTGCCCGGAAATAAACATTTGTTTTTTGTATTTGAAAAAGCTGCAGAAAGCTCTTCCACTCACTGGTTCACTCCACAACTAGCTGCAATAGTGCCAAGTCAGTAGCTTCATCTCAGACTCCCAAGTACATGGCAGAGGTCCAAGCACTGGGCCATCTTCTGTTGCTTTTTACAGGCCACTAGCAAGGAGTTGAAGGGGAAATGATGCAGCCAGGATAAAAACTGGCACCATATGGGACACTAGCAGGAATTTTACCCACTGTACCACAGCACCAGCTCCTTATTTACTTCTTAAAGACTTTTTTATTTATTTATTTGAAAGAGACTGCCCTCCCTGTCTATACTCTGGCCACCAAGTCTTGCACTCCATACATACCAGGACGCTCACCACATTAGATACTGACAACAGTTGCAAAAGCGGCTCGATCAGATCCAGAGAGAGCAAAGAGGTGCAGACACTAGGACTATGGGCTGGAAGGAGAACATGTCAGTATAAAACCCCCAAAACTGAACCTGAGCCCCTACGCCTCCCCACTCAGCAGAGGTTGTATCCAGGGGGCCGGGCCAGGCAGGTCAGAGTGTGTACCAGTAAGGTTGTTGAGGAACCAGAGGCCCTCTGGCAGCAGACTGGGCTGCTTCTGGAAGAAGAACTGCAGGAGGACAAATAAGGCTACCACAACCCGCTCATCCCTGAGCTGCAGGTGCTCTCCCGCAGCCTCCTCTGTCACTTCGGTCAGCAGGTTGCTCAGACACCGAAGCACAGGGCATGCCAGCTGCAGAGACAAGTGAGTTGGGGGTCAGGTGTCGAGTAAGGAAGGAAAGGCAAAGAGCAAAGAAACACCTGTCAGAACCCACCCTGTGCTTCTCACCAGCTCTAGTCCTGCATCCTCCGTTCCCTGGACGGCCGCAGCCAACTCCAAAAGCAGCAGTGCCAGAGTAGTCAGAGCCCCATGAGCGATCAGCAAAGCATTGTTGACCTGGCTGGGTGAAGGGAAGAAGCAGTCACTAGCCAATCAGTCTCCCATTTAAACTGGGAAACAGAAACATCTCTGGGTCTTCTAGGCAAAAAGGACCAGAGATTAGAAAACTCACTAGAGCAAAGTTCTGAAACTGAAGGTCAAAGACTGAGGTGTCACAGAAGGGAGCCCTAGGAGAGGTGTTAGCATTCCCCTGGCTGCCCCTGTGTTACCTGCAGACAAGGTAGTGAAGACACCAGGCAAACTCCACAGCAACCCCAAGGTTCAGCTTTGGACCAGGTTGCAACAACTGCAGTATGTGCTGGGGGAGAGTGGAGCCCAGGACAGAGCTGGCGGCAGAAGCAGAGCTGTAAGTAGGACCCACGAAAATCCCAAACGGAGAGTATCCAAAGCCCGTGCTTGGCCAGACCCATGGAACTGAAATGTGCTATGGCTTTGGAAATGAGACTTTGCTGGGCATCCAAAAACTACTGAGTGGGTCGCTTGGGCTCTACAGATCAGGAGACCTATTACTTACGGGATGATCTTCTCTGGAGCTTCCTTAGCCTGGAGGAGCTGCGACAAGGCATATCCAAGGGCTTCCAGCACAGCCACGTGTGGGGACTGGAAGCGGAGAAGATAGGGATCTGACCTGGGACCACCAGGTCTCCCAAAGCTCCAGCTCCCTAAGCCAAGTAAGCGGGCAGGTGGGCAGGAGGGAAGGGCGAAAGGAAGGAGGCCCTGCACTCACCTGCATGCAGGTAGCCAAGGCAGGAATAATGCCCTGCGGCAGGAGCTGCCTTCTCACAGCCTCACTGTCCACGATCAGGTTACCCAGTGTATACAGACACAGCTCCTGATGACAGGGAATGAGCTCTGGACTGGGCCCACTTCCTCTCCCTGGGAGGACAGTCAGGGAGGACAGGGCAGCCCTGTCTTGGAGGGTGAGGAAAGGATGGCTACATGTGTGGCCATAGGAAGAACACACACACATAGGAAGAACAGGTTTTCTTCTCACCCAGCCCTCCTGCCACCCCCTTCTCATCTTAAACTGGACCCAAAACCCCCAATTTTTTTTTTTAATCTAAAGCCAAGAGCATAGTGGGGAGGGACACAGCTTACTATGAAGTCTGAACTGTGACCAGAGAGGTAGGTGAGGAGGTAGGAAGTGGCGGGTAGGCAAGCCTCGGCCACCGTGGACTGCTCAGAATGTGAAAGCTCATGCAGGCACCGGGCTGCCTCCAGCTGCAGCAGGGCCCGATTGCTGGTCAGGAGGCCGACTAGGGTTCGCATGCTGCCCTCCAGCCTACGTGAGTGAGCAGCAGAGCCCTGCTCAGCCCGCACGCCAAACCCTCCTCATTGCCCAGTCCCTCTGAGTCCCCAGCCATCCCCTCCCCACACCGGCACAGACCGAATGAAGGTTTGCTGTGTCTCCTGGTGCTGTAAGCCTCGTCGAAGGCTGGCGAGTGCTTCCTCTCTCTCCTTTTCCTCTGTCCCACGCTGGGCTAGCCACAGGAACCGCTGCACCTGCAGCCCAGGGCAGGGAGAAGACAATTCAAGCCCTGAGTCCCTCTCTGCCCACTTCACCAGTGGGCCCTCCACTGTCACATCCTTCCCAGAGCCTGTGTCCTTGACACTGATATAGCCAATAAGTAATCAACAGATGGTGGGGCGGTCAGGGAAGTCAGAACTGGGATCTAATACCAGCCCTGTCACTTCCTCTACCAGGGGCTGGAACCTCAGGTTTCTCATCTGAAAAACAGGAATAACAGTATCTACCCTGCCTTCCTATTGGGTTATTGCAAAGCAAACCTTCCTACCTCTCAACTTGGCAAGTCTGCCCCTCAACGGATCCCAACATGCTCGCTACCAGCTAACACGCCCAAGCTCCTGCACATGCCTGACACACCTTCTCCAGGTTCCCACTCCCCTTGGATTTCTGCTCCTCACTTACTGTGGGAAATGAATTCTGCCTTCCCTGGCAGGCTGGGGGGCTTCCCTAGAGCCTCATGTTGCTGTTCATTATTACAACTCTCTCCTTCACGGGGCATCTTTCCATCTTTGTGTACCTCCATCCCCAGCAGTGGCCTGGCGTAAAGCAAGCTAGGGGGACTGCCTTGTAAACTACACAGAACATGCAGGCAACACAAGCACAAGGCATAGCCAGAGCTCACTGAGTGAAGAAGCCTTCTCGCTGACTCATTCCATAAACACTGAATCTGGACAGCTCCTGGGAGCTGTCTATCCAATGATGACAAGAATCTAGATTCTTGTCCACGCAAAATCTAGCCAGAGAACTGATAATAAACTGGGCAAAATGATAATATTCTGGAAGAAACAAACACGAATACCAAGAGGGACCCACTTTACATGTAGCCAATGGGAAGGCCCCGAGGCAGAAAATAGGTAGTTTGGGGGCCCCAAAACTGAAAGGGACTGGCACAATTAACTGGTATGTTTGGAGGTGGGCATTGGTTAGGCCATGCTGAGCTCCCCAGGGCACACCCAGGAATCTGGTTTCTAGTGGTTTTCTAAGACACATGGCAGGTGCAAATACAAATGCGAGGTGACCCTTATGGGGCTGCGGTGGTACCCAGGGAAGAGACAACGGTGGCAGCTGCGATGGGCAAGTCGCATGAAGATATTACAGCTCTTTAAGAAGTAATAATAGCTAGGACTTGATGAACTGATGTGGTCATGAGGAACGTGTTCTGTCCTGGATCGCCGCGTTCTGGGTTAGGACCGACCTCGTGGAGCGGCGGGCGTCCAGCGCAGGGGGCGTGGCCGGCCCGCTGCCCCGCCCGGCGCCCTCACCTCGGCTTCCCCGAGGGCGGCGGCCGCACAGCCCTCTCCGGCTTCCTCCGGCACGTCGTCTCTCAGCAGCCTCTTGCTGATCAGCTGCTGTTCCCTCCGCGCCTTCCGCAGCTCTGGCGCCAAAGGAGCCGACTGAGCGTGGCAGGCGCTCAGTCCAAGTCCCAGACGCCCCAGCCCCAGAGCCCGCGCCTCGCCGCCGGGACTCTCCTCAGCCCATCTCCGACCGCCACATCCCCCGTGCTCCCTCGCCCGCCCGCACCTGCCTCCCGCTCCCGCCGGCGGCAGCGTAACTCCTCCACCCCGCAGACCACCGGTCTGAAACGACCCTGCCGTCGTTTCCACATGGCAAAGCTGCGGGATAGCAACCAAAAAACTCCGAGGACCCGACCCCCCGGGTGTCTGGGGAAATGGCAGAAACTGCGCAGCCGCAGAGCCGAGCGAGGAAAGAGGGGCGGGGCGAGGCGGGGGTGGGACTAAGGCTGGAGTCCGGGCGAGACCCGGCCAGAACCGGAAGACGCCCGGGAAGCGAACCCCCGACGGCTCCAACTCTGCGTCCTCTCCTTCCGGGTTCTGAGAAGGAAGTAACTCATCCCCGACCTCGGCCGCCGCCGGTCGACGGTGACACCCATCCGCTCGGCAGACACAACTTCCCCACCCCGAGCACGCTCTGCACCCACATCCAAAACGACCCGAGCTCTGGCTAAAGCCGCGATCACATTTCGGCAGTCAAGCGGCTCGAGCGCCCGAGCGCAGCGGAAGCACCTGAAATCACCACTGCCATCATCCCCTTATCATGGATGAGAAAAAGGGAAGAAAAAATATCATTACTTTAGTGCTCCGCATAACTAGAGACTGCCCCCTCCCCTCGCCCAGCTTTTCGCAGTCAGCCTTGGGAAGTCTTGGACGGTGGTGGGTTGGCGCGTGAGCAGACGCCAGTAACATGCTGCCACCATCAGGAAGTGGCACCGTGGGCATATTAGGGACAACCCGTAGTCGAAATTCCTCAGTGGGGGTGAGACCTTGAAGGATGAGGGAGGGAGACTGTACTAGCAAATGCCTTTCAAAATAATAATAAAAGTGAGCTCACATTATTTGTAAGATAAAATAATTATTTCACCAAATGTTGAGTCCCACTACTCCCAAAACCCACGTTTCCGTTGTGGGGCCGGTGTGATCGCTCAACTAGCTAATACTCCACCTGCATGCACTGGCATCCCATTTGGACACCGGAAAGCAGTGGAGCATAACCCAAAGCCTTGGGACCCTGCACCCATGTGGAAGCCCAGAAGAAGCTCCTGACCATTTGGTGGACTGAACCAGCAGATGGAGGATCTTTCTGTAAATCTGCTTTTCCAATAAAAACAAATAAATCTTAAAAACAAACAAACATTGGGACTTGCGCTGTGGCTCAACAGACCATCCCATATGGGCACTGATCGTGTCCTGGCTGCTCCACTTCCAATCCAGCTCTCTGTTTATGACCTAAGAGAGCAGCAGAGAATGCCCCAAGTCCTTGGGATCCTGCACCCACAGGGGAGACCTAGAAAAGGCTTTTGCTTTTGGATTGCCTCAGCTCCAGCCATTGCATCTGTTTGGGCAGTGAACCAGTGCACGGAAGATCTCTTTCTCTCTGTAAATCTGCCTCCCAACCTGAAAAAAAAATCTTTAACGAAATTAAATTTGTAGCCAAGTGAGCCATATGTGACCTACTAATCCCTTCTTACCTCCCTCCCCACAGTGAGGGCACCTCCCCTTACCCACCTCTTTCCTAATCTTCTCTTGCTGTATAAACACAGCCTGCTCATTTCCTCTCCTGGGACCAGGCTGTCCCCCTGCCTGGAGCCCTACCTTTGTCCTCTGCCAGCAATCTTCCCCTACACCTTCCTCAGGTCTTCAACTCCAGCGCCCTACTCAGAAGTACTGGACCAGTGTCCCTAGCAGGAGAATGTAGTGTAGCATTTACTTCTTTAATTTTTATTTGAAAGACAGAGGGAGACAGAGAAAGAGATCTTTCACCTGCTGGCTCACTCTTCAAACAGTGCCAACCCTGCCAGGGCCAGGCTGCAGCCAAGAGCCCCAAAGTCCACAAGGTCTCCCACATGGATAGCTAGGGATTCAGTACTTGGGCCGTCTTCTGCTGTTTTCCCAGCATTAGTAGCAAGCTGGATTGGAAATGGAGCAAATGGGATCAGAACCAGTGCTGGCTCTGCACTGAGCCCCTCACTGTGTCCTCTTTAATATCCCTTCGTATCTATGCATCTATCATTAACTTACAATGTGGATGTTTGATAGTTTGCTCTCATACACACTTTATAACTCCAAAACCATAGGGGCAGCATTTAAGACTATATTTTGGGGCAGTGCAATGGCTCAACGGGCTATCTTCCACCTCCAAGTGCCAAGAGCCCATATGGTGCCAGTACGTGTCCCAGCTGTTCTGTATCCTATACAGCTTCCTGCCTGTGGCTTGGGGAAGCAGTGGAAGACCACCCAAGTTTTTGAGATCCAGAAGCTCTTTCCTTCTGGCTTCAAATACTCAGCTCCAGCCTTTGCAGCAATTTGGGGAGTGAACCAGCTGATGGAACTCTTTCTCTCCATAAATCTGCCTTTTCAGTACAAATAAGCAAATCCCTTAAAGAAAAAAACACGAATGTTTATGTTTTCCTTTTAAGAATTTTTGAAAGGCAGAATTAAGAGATTATAGCTCAGATTATAGCTTGGGATACTACTGTATGCACTACAGCACCACAAGGGGGCAGTGTGTACTGTGGCTTCCTGGTTTGGCTTGGAGGCAGACAGCTACTCTCCAATTAAAGGGGAAGTAGAAAAACAAACAAAATAAATAAAGGGGAAGTAGAATATACATATCATGTAGAATTTAAGTATCATGTAGAATTTAAGAAGTTCAGGGATGTATTCCTGTAAGGACTGCTGTTAATATGAATCCCTCATCCCCACCCTCTGGGAAAACTTCTTTTCCCCCTTCCAATAAAAATAAATATTTTTTTTTAAAAAACAAATAAAAAATAGGGCCTGGCAGCATGGCCTAGTGGCTAAAGTCCTCTCCTTGAACATGCTGGGATCCCATATGGGCACTGGTTCTAATCCCAGTGGCTACACTTCCCATCCAGCTCCCAATCAGTGGCCTGGGAAAGCAGTCGAGGACAGCCCAATGCTTTGGGATCCTGCACCTGCGTGGGAGACCTGGAGGATGTTCCTGGCTCCTGGCTCTGGATCGGCACAGCACTGGCCGTTGTGCTCACTTGGGGAGTGAATCATCGGACAGAAGATCTTCCTCTCTCTCTCCTCCTCTCTGTATATCTGACTTTGTAATGAAAATAAATAAATCTAAAAAAATAAAGCCATTTAGGAAGTTAAAAAATACTAACACCGTGGGTTAAACTGCTGTCTGCAATGCTGGCATCGAATATTGCAGCACTGGTTTGAGTTACAACTACTCTGAATCTACTCCAGCTCTTTGCTAATGCACCTGGGAAGAAAATGGCTGATGGTCCACATGCTTGGATTTCTGCTGCCTTTGTGAGAGACCAAATGGAGTTTCTGGCTCCTGGCTTCAGCCTGACCCGGATCTGGCTGTTGTAGCCATTTGTGGAACAAAAGAGTGGGAGAGCATATCAGTGTCTCCCTCTTTGTCATACTGCCTTTCAAATAAATAAGTAAATCTCAAGAAAAAAAAAAGAGAGGAAGTGGGCTGCAGTGTCCTCATGACACACACTGATAAAAAGTTGGAAGACATTCTATCTGTGTAAATGTGCAACAACAGGAGTCAGAGTACAGAATTGCTATGAGGGTTTAGGAAATCACTCAGGGCAAGGCATTCGTTTTCAGACAGGAAGATCTTCTGTCTGATATTTCACTCCCCAAGAGACCGCAAAGAACGGTACTGCGCTGATCCAAAGCCAGGAGCCAGAAACTTCTTCCAGGTCTCCCACACAGGTGCAGGGTCCCAAGGCTTTAGGCTGTCCTCGATTGCTTTCCCAGGCCGCAAGCAGGGAGCTGGATGGGAAGTGGAGCAGCTGTGCTGGGATCCTGGAACGTTCAAGGAGAGGACTTTAGCCACTAGGCAACTGTGCTGGGCCCCAGAAAGTTATTTAAACAAATGAACACATAAACAAAAACACAAAGGTAGCTGGTTTTCTGGCTCATTTCCTTCTCTTGAACTAAATTCCTACCCCGTTGGAATCCCTGGATGAAATTCATGGTCTATATCACAAAACATCCAGGGAGCTTGGATTTGGGAGCAGAACATTCACAATAACCAGGAAGAGGAAAAATGGAAGGACTCACAACGAAATGGCTGATAATCTGATAATCTCCTACATCGTTGGGAGCATGATGGACTTGTGAATATTCACAAAAGGCACCCATTGTAAGACTGGAGAGAAGAACAGTGGGGAGGGGAGGGGGGAGGAGAAACCCCAGTTCCTATTAAACTGTGTCATAAAATAGAAAGGAAGGAAGGAAGGAAGAAAGAAAGAAAGAAAGAAAGAAAGAAAGAAAGAAAGAAAGAAAGTAAGCAAGCAAGCAAGCAAGCAAGCCAGCCCCTGGGTGATAATGTAGTGGTTAAAGTCCTTGCCTTGCACACACTGGGATCCCATATGGGTGCTGGTTCTAATCCCAGCAGCTCCACTTCCTATCAGCTCCCTGCTTGTGGCCTGGGAAAGCAGTCGAGGATGGCCCAGAGCCTTCAGACCCTGCCCCCGTGTGGGAGACCTGGAAGAAGTTCTTGTCTCCTGGCTTTGGATCAGCACAGCACCGGCCGTTGTGATCACTTTGGGAGTGAACCATCAGGGAAGATCTTCCTCTCTATTTTTCCTCCTCTCTGTATATCCACCTTTCCAATAAAAATAAATAAATCTTAAAAAAAAAAAAGAAAAAAGAAAAAGAAAACTTCACTGCAGAGGGGTTGAGACAAAGGCAGCAAGGAGCCAACATCCCGGCCTAAGGCACTGGGGACTGCCCGTTCTCCTCACTTGCCAGACATGCGTGGGGCACCTGAGTCATTAGGGCTCCGCCAGCAGTCAGTCCCTGGGTCAGCAGGGCACTGCCTCTCCCTGCCAATATTCTTCATTGCGGCACTTCCCAGAAGGGAAGTGGGGGTGGGAGAGGCATGGGGAACTGACCAGGGTTCACAGAGAGAGGGAACAGGGTGACATTCTAGGATTATGTAAACTGGTGGCTGCCAAACAACTGGAGCAGATTAGTGCGTGGAGATTGGTAACCAGAGGGTAGCAGTGGGGCAGGAGAGTGCTACAGGCCTCCTCAGAGACTTGGGCCACAGAGGGCCTCAGGATTTATTGATCATGGTAAGTAGGATGGTTTGGGTGGGGTCCCATTTGCGAACCCGGGCGCCATTCGGGGTCTCCCTGATCTCTGCTCTCTGTCCCAGGAGT